AGTTTCGGAAGATTTGGATGAACTTAGGCTTGAATTTGATGTAATTTGATGGTTTAGGTGTTATTTGTGGTGTTTTGATGATTCGAGCAAGTTTGTAATAAGGTGTTGGAGTCATGTTTGTGTTTTTGGTTGAGGTCCGGGGCCGTCGAGATGATTTCGGATGGCTACCTGGGAGTTTTGAACCTTGGTGAATTGCAGGTTTTTGCTGGTATCTGGTATTTCCGCATCTGCGGAATATAGGCCGCATATGCGGTTCCGCAGATGCGAGTGGTTGGTCGCAGGTGCGAGTTTTGAGGTAAGGGGCTGTCTCCGCAGGTGCGGGCTTGGAGCCGCATCTGCGGTGCCGCAGATGCGGTAGATGTGTCGCAAAAGCGGAAGGGTATGGATTTGGCATTTCCGCAGAGCGGACAACCATCCGCGGAGGCGAGGTCCGCATTCTCCATTAGCTAAACCCTTTCTTACCCTGCCTTTGGATTCGTATTTTGTTCGTACACAATCAACGGAGGCCTTCCCGACATATGTTGCAACGTCTCCAATAGCATGCTCTTACTTCGTCTTTCCCTTAATAAGTCATCAAATTTGGTGCTTTTTGATCCCCAGTTGCTATGGGGAACAAAGGACGNCGTAGTAGGAGTTCGGTTCGCGGTCTTTCGCCTTCGCGTTCGCGTGGTACTCGTCGCGTTCGCGTAAGCGTTAAGGTTCCAGACCTTCGCGTTCGCATGGGTGCAACCGCATTCGCGAAGGGTATTTTGGCAGAGGTGGTATTTTGTTCATCGCGAACGCGAGAGGTCCCTCGCGTTCGCATAGAGGAAAATAAGCCTGGGCAGAAGGTTTTTATTAGACATTTCATCCGCGAACCAAGTCTCATTTCCACCATTTTTGAGTAACCTTGAGAGCTATTGGACGGAAATTGAAGGGGATTTCGACTAGGTGTGCTTGGAGGTGAGTTCCTTGACCTTAATAAATGATTTAATGGTAGAATTTACATGGAAATTGTGGAAATTCATCAAAAGAGGGTAAAGCTAGGGCTTGGAAATTTGGTATTTCAAAGTGGAATTTGAGGGGTCAAATGGACTCCGATTTTGGTAAATCTGATATGTATAGACTCGTGGCGAGATGAGGAATCCGGTGATGTTAATTTTCTGATTTTTCGAGAAGTGGGCCTGAGGCTCGGATTTTGCCAACTTCGTGAATTTCGATGTTTTTCGAGTCTTTTCGATTGGGTTATATTCCCTTAGCCTATTGTAACGTATTCATTGTGGTTTTGGCCAGATTCGACGCGCGAGGAGGTTGATTTGCGAGACAAGGGCATAGCGAGCTAGGACTTTGGCCGGCTTGAGGTGAGTAATGGTTATAAATGATGTTCTGAGGGTTTGAAACCCCAGATTTGCACAACGTAGTGCTATGTTGAGGTGAGACACACGCTGCATGATGAGCGTGGGGTCCATTACTGCTGGGGATTCGGACACGGTCCATCCCGATTGATGATTCTACTATATTTTGACTGACCTTACTTAATATCATTGTATTCTGGGCTAGTTGCCATGTTTAGGACCTTGTGCCGACCTGTAGAATCCTTAGGAGAAATGGTACATGATTGACCTCACTTTACACGTTAAAATCATACCCTCAGTCATGTTTCTAACTGTTTAATCTAATATGAACTGGTTTTGGAATAACTAAACCAAAAGGAGAGTAAAATGCAGGCTGGGATCCCTATCTTAACTTCGTATGCCCGAGAGGCTGAGTTTATAGTGACTGAGAGGGGTTGAGAACCCCATAGTGAGGGTATTTGATATGTTATGGATCGGGCTGCACGTCGCAACAGTATACATTTATATTGATCGGGCTGCACGCCGTAGTAGTATATATATTCATGGATCGGGCTGCACGCCGCAGCAGTATATTATTGGATCGGGTTGCGCGCCGCAGTAGTACATTCATATGGATCGGACTGCACGCTGCAGTAGTATAGCGGTTGGGCTGTAGGAGCCCCTCCGGAGTCTGCACACCCCCAGTGAGCGCAGTCGACTATTATTATTGGATCGGGCTGTACGCCGCAGCAGTGTATATATATATATATATATATATATATATATATATGAGTCGGTCGTCGCGCGACCGACGCGTAGTACTACGTATAGTGGTACGTCGGTCGTGCTAGTCGTCGCGAGTCGGTAATATAGTGT